ACAGGAATTTTACGATTGTGTTTACAAAAAACATTATTAGTTGAACCTTGCAGCTTGTTCATTATTTTTATTATAAATACCTATAAATTTATATATTATTAATAAATAGTTCCCATAATATATTGGATTATTTTTTATTTTGCCCTATCTGCAATGTTCTACGCTCTATAGAAAATGTGGCGTATGACATGACTGACAATCTTTCGAACGTTTTATCTAGGTACAAAGATGTTTTACGTTTTCGTCGCCTCCACATGATATTTTTGTCAGCATAAGGCACCCTTCTATATCTGAAACGAATATAAATATTGCTACAAAGTAAAGTAATAGGCTATACAAGTCCCTCTACTGGGCACAGGACTCTTTTTTTTATTTCTGAGAGGGTTTTAGGGCAAGGAAATGCCCGCCGTGCTTCCCCAATGCGTGTTGACGAAAATTGCAATTACAAATTTCATTCGTGCTGTCGGGGATCAAACCCGGGAAAATATTTACAGCGAACGCTTTGTCCCAGATCTACTAATACGATACAAATAAATACGATTTAACATATATAATAAAAATTCTTACGTACTTGAAACTTGAACACTTGATAGCTCGTGATGCCTACCGGACAAAGCTACAGCACCACACCGTGCAATTTAATTGAAGATGCGTAACCGCGACATAATTCTCAGTGATGCGCAAGCATAACAGGCAGTATGTCACTTATATAATTGTCATCTCTGCAGTCTATTAATCTTTGCACTTTTATAAGTAATACAGAACGTAGTTGCTAGACGGTGTTGACATCGGCTAAAATCTCTGCGATCGCCGTTTCGTCAAGGTCATTCAGGCTAGTTAAAGCCTTAAGGGGCTACTCCATGCGAACGACCTTGAGCATTTGGTGTGCCGCGCCGACTCGCTACAATATAATATCACGTAAGAAATATGTAAGGCGCCACCTACTGTAAGAACGTAGTATTTTTTCAACATCAATAAACTATTTTATGGAAATACACACAGCGTACAACGATAAATGTATCTCAAATTTTTTATTCGGTATATTAGTTGCATTATATTAGAGTTATGTATTCTCATATAATATTATCTAATTATGAAATTTTATAATTAATTATATATTAAAAATGAAGCATTGAAAATTGTGAGTTTAAAAGATACCTACTCACTATAGGTAAATAGATAGATAGCTCGCCTTTTGTACAAATATTTGGTGCAATAAAGAATAAATAAATAAATAGGATGTTTCGCAGAGTGAGAGTAATATAGAATGAGAGTCGTGGAGGCAGTTTACAAACATAAATTGCACAAGGACAAACATCCAGACCCGGAACAATTATTTGTAGGCCATACAAATACTTGTTCTGTGCGGGATTCGAACCCGCGGCCCCCAGTGCAGCAACTGATTGCTAAGCCAGTGCGCCACGGAGCCGTCGCCGGTTTATAGCTAAAGTGACCATACGTCCCGTTTTGAACGGGACTGTCCCTTTTCTCAGTCGCCTGTCCCATTGTCCCCAAACAAAGCTCCGGGACACAAAATTGTCCCGTAACTCGTTGGATGGAAGTATTCAAAGTCAACAATCTTCAACATAATTTTTTTTAATCGAATATATTTTATGTCTCCCTGGTACAAATGCTCCAGTAGAAAGAATATTTTTTTATTTTGAACAAATTGTGGACGTCTGAAAGAAACACTTACGGTTCTAGTTCTAAAGGCGATGTTGTTAACAAAGGTAACAATAAAAAAAACTTAAGCAGAATTTTATTCTTATTTAAAATTATCACCAACTTTATTAAAGCAAATTTAATCCACTGACAAATGTAATTAATAATTAAAAAAAATATGTTGCATTTAATAATTACCGTCTATACCGAATATAATTTTATATTGAACACTAATTGTGTAAAGTTATAGTTTTTAGAGTGTAAATAAACCCATGTCCTGTTTTGAGTTAAAAATAAATGGTCAGTTTAGTCTTTTTAGTTAAATTTAGTTTTAAAAATTTTTAGATAGTAAAAAGTAGGTATATTAGTACCTACTTAGATACTTTTTACCGAATTATAAGTATAGAACACCTTATGTACTCAATTATTTTTTGAAAAAGAAGAAAAAACAAGCAATAAATAATATACTATATTTTAGCAAAAAACTATAACTTAGTAATACTAATTATAACTTAGAACATAAATGAAAAACTCATAACTGACTTTTTGGCCCGACTCAGGATTCGAACCCGGGACCTCATGATCAGCAGTCGCACTACTACAACCACTAGACCAACGAGGCAGTACTATATCTAATAAGTTGTGGTTGGGTGATAATATTGAATTAGCCTTTTATAGTGTAAATTATAATATTTGTCGAAATTTTAATTATGGATTTGAACCTTACATGCTAATGGTGCTTCATTTTTTTATTTGCATTTACTTCAAAGAAAATACACGCAAAAAGCTTCATCGCGCAGTAAAAAACACAACAAATATATGTATAAGTAATACGAAAAATTATACCCAAAACAAACAAATAATACTACCTATAAATAACCTAATAAGTAATAATATTATAATATTACGCGCGTGCGCGCTGGCAGACGCTCTAACGACACGGGCTTCACGTCGAAGAGCTCAGGGCTCACTGACTCCAACAAGCCCGTGGGCAGTAAATACGCCCAGATTTTAAAATAATTTCTTAATAAAATCAAATTTTGGACTTTTGAAAAAAAATTTACTATAGAAATGTTCATTAATAAATTGCCTATCCATTGGTGTAAATCGCAAAATAAAATAATACTTACTTTAGGAGGAGATTCATGTTATCAATAATAATTTCACATTTATGTGGTTTCGTTGTAAGGAGATTATATTAATATTTATTCCTTTAAAAAAAAATTGGATATAGCTTTTATGGAATCAAGATTATGTAGAAATATAATGTGTTTTTTATTTGTTGATATATCTTTTAAATAAAAAGTAGATAGCTCCTAAAAATCGCACAAATAACGACTAGCGCGACATTTTGCTCAACCTGCGCCTTAAGAGGCGGGACATCCATAGTAAAAGTAAATGCATGAAAGTACGCCAAGCTACTCTACCAACATAAACATATGACATTTAGTTTTAACAAACAGTGTTGACAACATTGACGAATTACAATAGTGCTGTAAATGTCTATCCTTGAATTATTTTATCAATATAACCTTTATCGATATATTGTTTATCGATATTTTTACACCATAAAAGTTAGGTCTCTATACTGAATTATTTATTAGAAATATTTTTTTAACGAGGGGATTGAGTAAAAATGCCGATGAGGATAAGAAATCAATGTATTTTACACACAGCAATTTGTAATTATATCTCTACAATTAGGTACAAAAATATGTATAAAGAAAATATAAAATAAAAACGCACTATTATACTAGTAATTAATTAAGTAAAAAATAAACGACGACTCTGTAGTGCAGTGGCTAAGCGTTTGGCTGCGGCATTGCAGGACCGAGGCTTCGTTCCCGCACTGAACAATTGTTGCTATGCTGTAAAATAAATAGTCTGGGTCTGGGTGCTTGTTTTCGACGTTTTTTGTTAAGGGTAAAAATATTAGGTTTTTAACACTGATTAGATTAAATTACTTTTATGTGTAACAAATACTATGTACAAATCGCTAGGCTTCTACATAGAGGTACCTATGTACATACTATTCGTAGAGATTGTTTACTAATTTTCGCTTTCAAAATGAGTGCTCATTACAGCTAGTGTTTGTAGATGAATCTATAAAAAAAATATTTATAACCAGATAATTACAAATAACTTTGAGTTTATTTATATAATCAAATTCTTTCCAAAATGTCACTTTAGAGGGATATTATCTTTTGCTACATGTAAATGAAACCTAATTAACATACACATAATTGCGGAAGTTTGAATTAAGTCCACTAATGAAATAACAGTTAATTTTAGTTGGGTTCAAATGCAATGTTTGCCACAAATATGTTTTAACATGTGAATCTTTTCAATTAGTGCATGTGCCAGATATTTCACCCATTGCTTGCATCTGAAAAACTAATATAAATAAAATCACATTTTTATTGAACAAATCGAATGTTAGCAGTCACAATTGACTGTGTAGTTTCTAAGTATAGTTCGTTTCGGATTACCATACCATCGAACTATCAGATTTAAGAAATAGTGTGTTTGTATTTGTGCACACAATCGTGAACTATAAAAACCTGTCCTATGTAGATGGCTAGTCCAAAAATGTACTTGCGTTAAATATCATATTACTATTAAAGTTGAAATCACCACATACCTTTCATCATCTGAGGATAATTTAAAATTAAAAATTTTGTACAGCCGACTTCAATATAAGTTATTTAAGAATAACTTAAAAACTATTGGTCTGACCTTGATCAAATTCATATGGGACCACACGAGAAGTACCAGCTTTCAAATAAAAAAAGAATCATCGAAATCGGTTCACCCAGAAAAAAGTTCTGAAGTAACACACATAAAAAAAAAAACGAAAAAAAAAACATACAGTCGAATTGAGTACCGGCTCCTTTTTGGAAGTCGGCAGAAAATATTGCTACAAATAGCCTTTTTTTGTTATCATTTTTTCCACTTCTTGCACCATTTAATTGGAAAATTTTATAATGCATATTTAAATTTTTAACAATTCTGTAAATGGACAACGGCTCCTATAGCAAAAATAAAAGCAATCTAAATAAATAAAATATATACAAATATAATTGTTTGATTTGACATTTGAATCTATTTGATTTGACAAGTCGTTAATAGACATATTACGAAAAGCAGAAAGAAGAGATAACCGTCATTAAAATTTGACCCTTGTAGTACATATTATTTTTACTATGGAAGTTGCACCAGCCTGAATATATCCAACAGCATTGGTTATCTATTCCAATATATAGTTTCTAACGATTTGTATATTGTGTTGGGATTGTTTTTTATCTCAATATTTTAAATTTTTTAAATGTATGTTACAGGTGTAAGCCAGATTGGTGCTTCCCAAGCATGGGAAAAGAAACAAATGAATTACTCCGGCAGTGTATAGAACTGCCAGTAGCCCACTTATCTGATGACATTGAAGAAATTATCAAAAGGAGTAAAGCCTTCCCAATACCTTTTCCCATAGAGACTGTGAGGTATTTTTGCTTCTTTGTTTTTTTTTTGTTGAAATAAAACTTTTGTGACATGTATAGTGTGCCTTGTGTCTAAGACACTGGAAATAAAAAAAAACTATGGTTGTCAAACACATTACCTGCATAAGGCGCCATCCTATTGCCATAGCTTTGACGGCTCCGTGGCGCAGTGGCTTAGCAATCAGTTGTTGCGCTGGGGGCCGCGGGTTCGAATCCCGCACGGAACAAGTATTTGTATGGCCTACAAATAATTGTTCCGGGTCTGGATGTTTGTTCTTGTGCAATTTATGTTTGTAAACTGCCTCCACGACACAGGAGAATATCCTAGTGTGGGAGTAACGTTTTTTAAAAAAAGAAAAAAGAAAATAGCTCGTACGATCATGCATACGTCCGACGAAAATGATTGTGTGACCATGTATTTAAACATACTCACATCTGCAGAATGTCCTATTGCAGGTTGTGCGATCATACGATGTGACCGAATTGTCTAATTTTCGTCGTGTGATTTTCGATGAATCGTATAGGGGCGCAGGCAAGGGAAGGGTACCACGACGTGCGCTCGTCTCGACGGCCTGCCATTTTGTGTAATCGTTCGGTTCGGTTGCATGGATTTGTAAGATGACATTTAAAAAAAACTTAATTAAAAAAATCTTTTTTCATTTTGGCGTACGTCGTAATACTGATTGCGAAATTCACCGCACTGATTTCTGTTTTTATACAGTATATTATGTGGTGTAGGTTGTCTTTTTTTAATTAAACACTTAAAGAAATATTGCTTGACAGCAAAAACTGTGCATCTCTGTTTCATCTTCTGTTTCAAGAGTGATCGCATCGCTCCAAAATAGGACACACGATTTCTAATCATACGAGTGGATTCATCGGACGATGAAATCGCATCGCATCATCGCGCGAGCGATGGCAATAGGACGGCGCCTAAGATAAGCCACTATCATTCCGTGGGTGTCGTGAGAGGTGACAGAATGAAACTGAAACAGGATCAATGTAGCTAGAACTAAAATTATTTACTGTACATTTTTAGCAGACTGCTCAACCTACTATAGAAACCTAATCTAATATATAAAAATAAATTTTTGTGTGTTCGTATTTTATACACTACTATACCGATCAGATTATGGTAAAACTTTGTCAACTTATGGCTTGCATTTCCGAGAATGTTGCATAGTATCTGAGCAATTGTTCGGATTAATTCCAGCCGCCAAATTTCACGAACTCACATCGCGTCAAAATTCACGGTATCATCCTCCATCTGGATGCTTGACGGTCCACAACTGTGCGTTTTACTAGGAGTTTTCTTGCCTTTTTTTTTTCTTATTTTTAAAAACGTCACCCCCACAATAGGATTTTCTCCTGTGTCGTGGAGGCAGTTTACAAACATAAATTGCACAAGGACAAACATCCAGAGATTTTATATATATAGGATAGGAGATAGGGTGACAAACGAGCACACAGTCCACCTGATGATAAGTGGTTGCTGTGGTCCATAGACATCTACATTTATCCTTGTTTGCAAATCATAATGCAGACGCGTTTTCACCCGTGAGGACTAAGATGGAATACCTCTTTTCCAGTAAAAAGGGTCTCTGGTTCTCTACACTCACCATATGAAACACAGCAGTGTTAAGCTGCTATTTTACGCTGTTATTCTGTGAGAACTTGTTCCTTGTACAACTTCTCTGTGGAATTGTTTACCACTGGCGATTTTTCCGGACCGATACGACTTAGGGACCTTCAAGAAAAGAGCTTACACTTTTCTAATAGACCGACAACGCATCTGCGATTCCGCTGGTGTTGTGGTTGTTCATGGGCGGCGGTAGTCACTTACTACCAGGTGAGCCGCATACTCGTTTGCCCCCTCTTCTATAAAAAAAAAATGTACAATTAACTTACAGTAGGTGGTGTACATATCGTACCGACAAATTTATTTGAAAGTAATAGGTATATAACTCAACTTCAATAAATCTATTATCATTCCTATTCCTAATTAAACAATATAAGTCTTCCTTTGAAACTATATTTACACAATAATCTTTTCTGCTGCAGCAATGTGCAGCATACCAGCTAGTCATATACAATTATTATGTTAGATAGATAATGTGTGTTTGATGAATTTAAATCTTGGTTTAGAACATAGGTACTTTGCAGTGAAGTATCGTAACAATATCTGCATATTTGATAAATACAAACATTTTATGAGACTTTCTGCAATCCTTCTAATTTTTTGTTATCATTCAATCTTTCAGCCTATCATATGCTTTGCAATTCTATACTATGTTATATTGTATTAATTATAAATATTATTTGAAAAAAAAGTGACAATAAAGAGGATACCTGCAGTTTATTCATCCATTTATCTCATTTTGAGACTGTAGTTGATTGAAAAAGTATGATAAAACTGAATGAAACTAGGTTTTTTTTTATTTTATCTTGTTTAATTAACTTATTTTATAATATCGACATTTCAAGTACTTTGCAGCATAATCAGATAAATTTATTATACCAGACTGGGCAAGAGTACAGAAGCTCCATATAAGTGTCTCGTAATACATTGTAAAGTCTGCCAACACACATTGTGAATACGTTATCCTTTTTGTGCCTAACTGTCAGATGTGTGTAAGCTGTTGTTTTACTTTTTTTTATGTAGTTTTCATTAAATTCTATTTTATTTTTAGAATAGAAAAATTACAAGTGAGGAGGCCCGTTGAGAAGCTCAAAAGAAATATAGTGTCCACATACCCACTAATTCATGAGAGAGTTCTTCTACTCATGACACATTTCCTTATTTATAAAAGGTATGAATTTTGCTCCATTATGTTTATTTATGGGTTCGTGAAAATGAAAACCAGTGTTACCAGACATATGTTTGGCAGCACAGTTAAACATAGCCAGAGTTAAGTTAAAGATGCTAAAATTAATTAGCTAAGATCCATGTCTACATCTTAATATATTATTAATGTTATAAAGAGGAAAGATTTGTTTGTTTGTTTGTTTGTTTGAATTGAATAGGCTCCGAAACTACTGGACCGATTTGAAAAATTCTTTCACCATTAGAATCCCACATTATCCCTGATGAACATAAGCTATATAATATTTTCAAAAAAGTTAGGGATCCGTATGAAAACTTCGTTAATATAACCCAAGGTGTGAAAAAAATACCAAAAAGAATCCTTATTCCCATACGCTGCGGAAACTATTGATAATAGAGCAAAGTAATGTGCTTCACTTTTATAGAGGATATCAATATCTACAAAAAGCCTGCAATACCATATGTTTAGCTATTACAGTTATGTCACAATAACTACTTTTTCATGTTAAAATATGAAATAGTAACGCCTGTACAAACTATGCCACATTATTCGTATTAGTACCTGTACCATGCATAAATAACCACCAATTACGTTAACCATGTAATTTAAGTAACATTTTTCACTTTTTAAATCTTTGTTAATTCAGCAACCATCCGTCGTGATGTCTCTCTCGAAGTTCGCATGTCGCAAGGCGCAGACGCGTGATATACGCGGGTGAAACCGCGGGACACAGCTAATATAAAATAAAAATTATTGGTCTTACCTAGTTGGAAGAGCACCTCCCGCATTTAGTTTGACGGCTCTGTGGTGCAGTGGCTTAGCAATGATTTGCAGCATTAACTGCCGGTCTGGATATTTGTCCTTATAAAATTTATGTATGTAAACTGTCCCCTCGATACAGGAGAAAATCCTAGGGTGGAGGTAACGTTTTTACGTTCAACGGTAAAAAAGAAAACAATGAAATTAACGAAATATATCTTCTTCTTTCTTCTTCTTCTTCTTCTTTAGCGGCCTGTAAAAAACTACTGCTGGATATGAACCTCTATTGTAAGGAGAATTTGCCTTAATCATCATGTTTGGCAGAAGGATTGATAATATCAATGGCGGACATTTCGAGCCATGGCGCTGCAGCCTGTTGCCGGTCTATTTTAAGTCTGTCGTAATAACATTTATTGCATGAGAAATAGGACATAGATTCCATTGCATCTTACCCATATTGTTATTGGATATTCACATTGCATTCATACAATTGTGTTAATGCCTCATTTATTGTGAATTGACTTGATTATTAGAAAGCCGTAATGCTGTTTGTGTTTATTTCAAGTGATGCAAAAACCAAGTCAAACCATGCTCAACTTATTGTAAGAACATACGCTCACATACATATTTATATCTAAAATATGTGTGCATATCCAGGCAGTAAATGTTACAGGCTAAGAGTAAGAACGAAAGAAGAAAGATGTGTGCGTGTTAAGAAGTTGAGCATGGTTTCGGCATTACTCAAAATTTACATCTCTCCATCTATCTTTGTTGCTCATCGACTCACATTTTTTTTAAATGTTGAAATTACTCTTTGCAGGGAATTCGGTACAAGTATAGAGAAGGCGCTATATAAAGATATGTCAGTTCCCGAACTGATTGACAGGATATTGAAGAAGCGAGCTGTCACTTTTATGGGCCCAAGTGATAAATACAAACTTTTGTCAGGAGAAGAGGGGTAAGTTACATTTGCTCATCCTTTTGAGTATTTTGTGCCAAACTCAGTTCAAAGGAATGCTTACAGAATCATTTCAGTGACTGTATATCACAGTAGTTTTTTTTTTTATGAGTGTTTTTTGTTGGTAGTATAAACTTATAAAGATGTAAAAAATTTGAATTTTGACTGTGACAGTTCACATATTGGTCACATACGCCTTACTTATGTTATGCTGCTGGATCGTAATCGCCACTCGCGATTGGCGATAGCAGGGCCTAATACTTAGCAATTTGAATGCCGTTTTTCTTTTTATAAAAAACATTTAGCTCTTTGGGATTGTTATTTGAGATGATAATTGATTGCCGATTTGTATTGCCCATATCCGAGACATCTAACGACATAGGGTAGTTACGTAGTTAAAGGCATTATTATTATCATTATTTTATTTTAGTCCTTGGGGTGATAATGCATCTGTGACCTCCTTTATTTGATTGGGGACTCCATAAAATCTTCATTGAGCGGAATTTTTCATCATTGGATTGCTTAACACTAGTTCCTTCATCTCATTCTGTCTTTGTCATTAATATCTATTAAATTAAAAGTAAAAGAACACTATGCCCATTGCCTCTATTACATAGTATAACGGTAGTATAACCATCTCGTAGATGCTAGATGTGATAGTCAACTTTTAACAGCTAAACATCAATATGCTATTGATGGACTCTCATACTATCACCACAATGTTAATCTCACAAGACTAAAAGAACAGTTAAGTTTTTTTTATCCCAAAACATTAAAAGGGACGTAAGGAATAAGCCAAGTTGACTGTCTGCCAATGTTAAGTTACATGGCTGGTTGGTGACTTAACATTCAGATATTACATTCCCATGCATTAATTACTTTTCTATAAGCATTAAAGAGTGTAGAAAGTAAACTTGGCTAACCCGGAGGAAGTACAAAAGTTGGCTGACTTAACAAATCTATGGTTTACTGATTTGTTTATCACATGTATGATCGATGAGAAGAGCAATGATAAATTGTTATGAATTACTCTGCAACCATACATTGTTTCACTCATTATAGCCCATCAAAAGTCTGATGTTGAACATAGGCCTCTCCCTCGTAGGGGGGGGGGGGGATTTTAGTAGTTATACCCGTCAGGTAGGTTGGCCACTACAATTTTTTATTATTTTTACGGGCGATCCGCTCCGGTTTCGCACGGGTGATTTTTTAATCTCGACAACAGCGTCATCCACCGGGTCCAATTCTGTATCTAATCCCAATAACAGTCCCTGACGTCCTTTCTGCTTTCTCTCTTACAGATCTGACAGATATCAGGAGATTAACTTTGCTGTATAGTCATAGATACATCAATATATTTTTACAAGTTGTCGTTTATAGCCGTCGAAAAACCCGTACTTTATTTTATTAGGATACTAGCAATCTGCCCCGGCTTCCCACCGGTGATTTCATAATCTCGACAACAGCGCCATCTACCGGGTCCAATTGTGTATCTAAACCATACTCGAATCAACTTAATCACACACATAAAATGTCATCTAAATTGGTCGAGCCACTTAGGAGAAATTAAGTCACATACAAAAAGAAGAATTTTATATATAATTATACATATAAACCTTCCTCTTGAATCATTCTGTGAAAACTGCATCAAAATCCGTTGCGTAGTTTAAAAGATTTAAGCGTGCAGACAACGGGAAGTAACTTGGTTTTATGCTATGTAGAGAAGTTGTTATCAGAAAGATGCTGCTACCCATCTCTTGGTTCAGTTTTATTCTGTCGTCTCTTACGACACCCACGGGACAATATGGGGTAGTGGTTTCTTGTACGCCTCCTCTACAACCTAAGTTGTTATATAGTCTTTTTTTTTATTTACAGCAAAGATGGTTGGGAAGCGGTTGGTACATTGCAACAAAAGCCACCATTGTTGTTAGAGAACTGTCTGAGCTACGACGAGATGAAGTTGTCTGCAATGGTGTACGTCAGTGGGCACACAGAATGCATCAATGATGGTGAAAGAAAAAATTCTGGAGTTATCAGAGAGGACATTGCTGAAGAAGATGCGGTTATTATAGGTAATTAGGATGAATTATTCTTCCTAGTGGGCTACTAGTTGTTAATATTCGACCGTAATTTATTACATTTTCAGATTTGTATATTAGGCAAGCTGTATTTCTCTTTTAACTGCACATTAATATATAAAAAACAGTTATCCAATATACAAAATAAACACTTTTGGTATTGACATAGATTTCACACACTATTGAAAATATAGACAAAATTCACAGTTTATGCAATCAATCTGTCAGTTATTATTTGTTGGCAACATTTTAAAATTCTTTGGCGACATCTCTACTCTGTGCGACTATTTGACCACAGACTATAATTACATACATATGCTTGTATTTACTCTGAGCTGCTTAACATCAACAAACAACATAATTTGTCCAAGCAACAACTATGTTTGACATTAACAGTATGAATGTTTGGCAACATATAAGCAATGTATGTTTTTATTTAATTAAATTTTATGTATTTGTAACACTTACTATAAATAAATATTTGGCTTTCTGCACTCCTTCTCTAATATAAACTTTAACTATGCCAAATCTCACATACCTCCGTGCGCGCAACATGCTTCAAACGAGGTACAAAGTTTTCTCTTTATATATATTCACCATTTTCTCCCCATGTAAAGAACCTTGGTCTGTATGTTGATGGTTCTTAACATGGAACAAGCATATATAGGTATGCAAAACCACCGGAACTTTGTGATCTCTATATCAACTAAAAAACTTTCTTCCCACCAATATTAAAATTTACTTGTCCAATCAGTTATTGTACCAATTATTGATTATGTCGATGTGTGTTGCTCAGAACTGTCTCAGCATCATCTTAATACATTGGATCGTCTGCTTAACAACAGCATCAGTTACATTTATGGTCTTGATAAATACGACCATGTATCATCTTTTCGTACTTAACTAAATTGGCTGCCTATCCGTCAGCGCAGATATGTTAGAATACTCTGTACCCTTTTCACAATTCTGTACGATCCATGTGCTCTCGAGTATCTAAAATCTAAATTTCAATACCTGGGAGATTCTCATAATTGTTCTCTCCGTTCTTCGGCTAATCTCAAGTTGCTCACTCCTTCGCCCTCTCGTCCATCAGACTCTGGAACGAAATCCCTCTTGACATTAAAAAAGCTCCCAAGAACTTTGGTTTTAAAATTCAAGTCCGTAAGCATGTGAACAAATCGCTGCAATTTTGAACTAACACAGCTCTTATTTTCATAAACATTATGACAGATAATATTTATATTTAATACATATTAAATATAAATATTATCTGTCATAATGTTGTACATTTTTCTATATATGTAATATATATACAATGTCGGGAATTAAAAAGTTAAATTAAACGCGATAAAATCCGTAAAATAAGTTTTATTCCATATTTCCTTTTAGTCCATAAATATAGAATTTGTTAGTAATCTATGAAACATTGTCTTGACACCACGATTTATTTACATATCAATTAATATGTTGGCAACAGTTTTTAGAGAACTTTTGCATGGGATTGTGTATCTAGTTTTTTATTAGTGATTGATGCCTTGACATGATAAATGTATTGTGTGATTGATAACTCAATAGATAAAGTCCTTCAGAAGTTTCACCATTATTATAGCTGTTCACAAGTCCACCACTGAACATAGGTCTCCCCTAAGGAATACCACAAAGCACAATCCTGAGCCACCTACGACCATCACAATTAAAATCTAATATTAAAACCTTCGATCAACAATACCAACTAGATAACGGGTCACGTACAAAATCTTAGCTAAATGCTGTCCGCGTGAACATATACTTATACAGCTACATTTGTTTACTAAAGTACTGAGACAAAAAATTAAAACAGTTTTATGTTCAACCCAAGTACAACCATGGCATCTAGTAATAAAGTCGCTAATCTAACGGTTATTAGTTCAAAAACGGAAAAAATCAATACATTATTCCTGTCACTTGGAAATGAAAAGACATAGGTTAAATAACATTTAGTGTGTAGTGAACCTTATGTAATAACAAATTAAAGTACTTTGTCTCGTTATTGTCTTGCAAGCTACGTCGTTTTGTTTCGTTTCTGTTTGCTTCTTCGAATTTTGCTACAAGAAGTCGCGGAGTCGCGTTGAACACTAAAATAATTTATAATATGATCATAAGTTTAGTTAAAATTATTTATGTTTGTTGGTATATACATACTTTCCACACTAGCCATTAAATATAATATAATAAGTAGTATAATTATTGCATTCAATTAGATAATTCAATATATATTTATTTTAGTTTTGTATGTATATATGTTTGTAGTATATGTATTATATATATAAATATGTGTAGGTATTCTTTTTTATCACACCAATTTGCCCTACCCCTGTTATCTTCGTGTAATCCCGTCCATTCAGTGATTGTCCGGAAGAAATTGCTGTTAGCAATAAGACCGCCCATTGCGTACTTCTCTGTGTTGGTGTGCAATAAAGAATAATAAATAAAAAATAAAAACAATAAAGCTAAGTATCTAATGAAATTACATAAACAGAGACAAAAGTAGCAATTACCGTTATTTAAAGTTCTGGTAACAAATTACTAAAAATGATTACAACACAAATCTACTCCATGCATGTACTGTTCTGTTTAACAAATATTTACGCGTGTATTGGCCAACCTTGGCAAACATTTGTAGGGGTGCTTTAAAATCGGTAATTTTGTTTCAAATATGATATTATTTGTTAGTTTAGAGCTTAAAATATAACTTATTCTACATATACTTACCGAAAGTAAAACACCTCGGCCGTTAAATTGCTTTTTCGCGCATTATTCTTGCAACTTTTAAATACACATTGTGGTATTGTGAAACGTGTTTACATTGGCTGTGTTTCAAGTAAACTAAACGAAATAAGAGCTCGCGTCTCCAGTGCGCTGTTATTTACTAAGACGTATTTTTTGCGCCGACCCGATATCCAGTTGGTATTGTTGATCGAAGATTAAAACCCAACACATTGAAATATGTGAATTTCAGGTTTGGTAGGGCCACGTTTCGAGAGACGCGGTCGTATGGATTACGAGGATATTTTGATAACGGAACAGCAGAATTGTCTGGAGCACGGCTATGGTGAGGAAGTAACGCCCACCACCTGCCTCAATGTATTGAAAACCACCTATGTGAGGAACAACCAGTCCGCCAAGCACATGTGGCGGCAGATATGGTCGGAATTCTACCAGGTGAGCTGCGTTTTATTAGTTTTAACGGTTCTGTGGAAATTTGAACACTTATGTGGAAGAGCCATGCTGCACAGCTATATTAGTAATATAGTTGTAGCATGAATGAGTCGGCTCCACCGGGGAAGGACCACGCTCTCAAAAAATGCCAGCATAAAATAGCTAAAATAATTATAAGCACCAACTTTTACTTCTAGGTACATAGTTATACTTATGAGGAGTTGACGTCATACGTCAATATCCAAGACAAGGCGGAAGACCAAAGATACACGGACAGATACGTGAAGAAGCCTGGGAGTGAAGACATCTTCGATAATGAGGTATACTACAAGCGGCTGTGTGTTCTGGCTGAAGTGACTTTACTCGAAGCTGATCACAGGGCTAAAGAGGCGGGGAAAGAGGCGTTTCTGAATGTTATTGGATGTGGTGAGTAATATGAAGAATAATGTATATAATACAGATAATACTATAATAAAACTAAATTTGATATAAATTGTAATTGTGATATAAAATATAAATGCAACGGGTCGGTAGTGACTTTGCATTGGCTACGGAGCTGCGGGCTGCGAATCCTGCATGAAACAACTATTTATAAAGTTTTTTTTATGGGATGAGTGTGACAAACGAGCACACAGTCCACCTGATGGTAAGTGGTTGCTGCGGCCCATAAACATCTAGATTTATCTTCGATTACGAATCGTGAGGATTAAGATGGATTGTCTCGTTTCTAGTAAAAAGGGTCTCCGGTTCTCTATACTTATCATACGAAACAGCAGCGTAAAGCTGCTATTTTACGCTGGTATTCTGGAAGAGCATGGTCCTTCCCCGGTCGAGCTGACTCATTCGTGCTACAACTATACTACTAATATAGCTGCAGCATGGCTCTACCACGTAAAAAAGTTGCTAATAATCTCATTTGTAAGAAGGTTATAAAATAATTATTAGTGCTCCGCGCTGCTCCAGTGAGTGTAGACGGACTTCTCATGTACTTATTAGAAATAATTTATTCCTTAGTAACGGGGATTTCCTGCTTTTGATGTTGACCGCCGAGCATGTAATAAATCAGCACTTAAAGTGGCAATTAACAATTTTATTCCTGCAGGCGAGGATCGAATGCAAGCTGCTCGCATAACGTAAAATTTACGCCGTAATCTTAGCCCCTGGGTGATAATTCTTTAATGAATTTCCTGTTTATTTTGTTAATTTTTAAAATACGTAAAAATAATTACGTAAAATGGCCTCGCCATGCAGGAGAAAATCCTAGAGGGGGTATCGTTGTTTAAAAAAAAGTTAAAATATATAATTTTTATTTAAATTAGATTAACTAATAATAGTAGTGTACTAAGACTAGACTAAGGAACTAAAATCATCATCATCTTCATTACAGCCCTTCACAAGTCCACTGCTGAACATAGGCCTCCCCCAAGGAATGCCACAAAGCACGGTCCTGAGCCACCTGCATCCATCGACTTCCTGCATATCTTACCAGGTCGTCACTCCATCTAGTGGGGGGACGCCCTACACTTCGCCTGCCGGTACGAGGCTGCCACTCGAGAACCTTTTTTTCCCCATCGGTTGTCGGTTCTTCGAGCTATATGACCGGCCCATTGCCACTTCAGCTTACTAATCCGTTGGGCTATGTTGGTCAATCTGGTTCTACTGCGGATATCCTCATTTCTGAGTTTATCACGCAGAGAAACTCCGAGCATAGCCCTCTCCATAGCTCGCTGAGCGACCTTGAGCTTCCTCATCCGGCCAGCAGTGAAGGACCACGTCTCAGTTCCGTATGTCATCACTGGCAACACGCACTGGTTGTACAGTCTCGTTTTCAAGTTTTGAGGTATACCTGACCAGAAGATGTGCCGTAATTTCCCTAACGCTGCCCAACCGAGTTGAATCCGTCGATTGACCTCTCGGTCGAAGTTGGACTTACCTAGTCGGAATATTTGTCCCAGGTAAACATACTCGTCAACAACTTCGAGCTTAGTGCTCCCAACAACTACCGGCATAGGTGTGACATGGACATTAAACATGATCTTTGTTTTGTCCATGTTCATCTTAAGACCTATCCATTGGGAAGCACTATTGAGGTCATTGAGCATAGTGCTTAGGTCCTCCAGCGATTCTGCCTTAAGGACTATATCGTCGGTAAATAGAAGGTGAGTGATGTACTCGCCATTGATGTTGATACCGTATCCTTTCCAGTCCAGAAGCTTGAAAACGTCTTCCAATACAGCGGTGAAGAGTTTCGGGGATATGAAGTCACCCTGTCTTACACCTCTCTGCAATTGGATAGGTTTCGTACTCTGGTTCTGTACTCGGATAGCCATTGTAACCCTACTGTACAAGCGCATCAGCACTTCGATATACCGACAGTCAACTTGGCACCGCAGAAGGGAATTGCAGCACTGCCCAAATTTCGACGGAATCAAAGGCTTTCTCATAGTCCACATACGCCAGACATAGTGGCAAATTGTACTCTTCTGACTTCTGTACAATTTGCGGAAGGGTATGTATGTGGTCTATGGTGCTAAAGCCTTTTCGGAAACCGGCTTGTTCGGGAGGCTGGAAGTCGTCAAGTCTGCGTGCGAGACGATTCGTAATGACTCTCGGTAAAACAGCACGTAGACGCGGCTCAGAAGGGAAATCGGTCTGTAGTTCTTCAAGAGAGCGTTGTCGCCTTTCTTGAAGAACAAGACCACCGCACTTCTGCTCCACGTCTCTGCTCTGGTGTAATGCCACCATGCAGGACGGAATTAAAGAGCTTCTGAAGGACTTCAAGTACCGGTTTTCCACCCGCTTTCAGAAGCTCCGCTTTAATTCCATCTTCGCCTGGGGCCTTGCCGTTTTTAAGGTGCTGGAGAGCCATTCTAATCTCGCTCAGACTGACGTCCGGGATATCTTCGGAATAGTGTCGGATAAGACTCGCTCTTGGATCGTTACTCACACTTGCGTGTGACACCAACGATGACGTGTACAGCTGCCCATAGAACCTCTCAATCTCACTCAAAATCTCAGGTGCCCCGGAAACGATACTGCCACATTCTGTCTTCAACTTTGAAAGTTGACTCTTTCTGGCAGACAGGTCTCTGGCAAAGACTTTGGAGCCTTGATTCCGCTCGATCGCTTCTTCAATACGAGCTGTATTGAAGTTGCGTAAGTCCCGCCGCATGCATTTGGAGATCTGTCTGTTCAGTTGCCTGTATGCTGTCAAATCTGTTGAAGAATGTAGCTTCATCTCCCGTCTAACAACTATGAGATTAAGAGTGTGATCGGAGAGTTTTTGTTTTCTTCTGCGGCGGGTCTTGCAGAACTTAGCTCCGACCGCATAGACATTTTCCACGAGCTTGTCATTCATATCGTCCACTTCATTGCAGTCTTCTAGTCACTGAAAACTGTTTTGTAACTCGAGCTGAAAGGTTTCGGGACTTTGGATTAGATCACGAGGAGGACGGAGCGTTGACTTCATTAGACGAGACCTCTCCAACTTCACGTTTAGGTTCAGTGTGCCTCTAACCATTCGGTGATCGCTGCCGATTTTCACCCTCGCGATCACTGAGACATCACTGTACAGTTGTCGTCTGGTCGTCATAATGAAGTCAATCTCATTTTTTGTCGAACCGTCGGGGCTCGACCATATCCACTTGCTGTGGGGCCGCTTCTGGAAGAAAGAGTTCATCATAAAGAGTCCCTCTTTCTCCATGTAGTCAGCCAGCTGCTGGCCCCTTGGATTCCGTTGCCCTATTCCAAATTTCCCTACTTTCAGCTCACCATTCTCTTGTGCCTAGTTTTGCATTGAAGTCTCCCATTAACACCGTATATTGGGTTTTGGAGGAATGCATGGCTCTAGAGATATCCTCATACATTTCCTCCACCTCCTCATCGGGGTGTGCCGAGGTTGGTGCGTAAACCTTTGTGATTCTGAGTATAAGGTACGCAACCCTCGTCGACACACTCTCAATCTTTACAACGTTGTTAACGAGAGACTTGTGAACGATAAATCCGACACCTCCTTGGGACAGATGGTCGCCCTCCCGGTAATAGAACAAGTTGCCGGATTCGAGGATTACCGTTTCCTCCCCCTCTCTTCGGACTTCGGATAATCCTATAATATGCCAGCGTAACTTGTCTCTTCTTGCAGCTCCACAATCTTCTCGTCAGTCCTCAGGGTGCGTGCGTTGTATGTTGCCAGGTCGAGTCGGCGTAGGTGGCAACCGAACCTCCACCGGAGATTCTTAGCACCCCCTGCCCCGCCGTTACCATGGTCGCCACCGTAGCCAGGAATAGCGGGGCCGCCGGGGACTGGGGGCCATCTCTTTGTTACATTCATTCATAGGGGGTATTTGCCATAGTTGTCACGCTTGGCGAGCGGGTTGGCAACCGCAGTTTTTTTATTGTATTTTGCTGTTATCAGGAAGATGCTGTTGCCCATCTCCTGCCTGTTTCCCTTTATCGCCTTTTACGACAACCACGGGAAGATATGGGGTAGTGGATATTCTTAACCGCCACTACACGGCATCAATGGACCAATTAATGTAATTGGTCCTCCGAGCCCGTTCACTAAATGAATAAGTATCTTTTAAGTAAAAATGTGTTTTATCGGAAACCAAACACGGTGTGCATTTAAATAAAGCTTAGGTCTAAGTTAGTACTTAATTTGGTCACTTTGAAAATGACGATGGGGAGATTTGTACTTGCTTGATGAAAGTTACGTTATCTTAGTTTTATATGAGTACGGTCTATTATTTGAATGAGGTTTTAGCTCACGCTACTGTACCTCATCCATTCCTCAACCTATACGAGTCCACTGCTGGACATTTTGTAATAATCGCAGCGCTTTACATGCGTTTTGCAGGTTTCAGTGCTATTTATAACATTAGTACTTAAACACAATTTATTGGATGCTTAAATCGCCATCAATTAATGGAGTTGAAGGAATCGGATATTGGTAATGGATATGGTAAAAGTGGTTAGGTTATCAGATTATGGTAGGAGAAAGAATATAGTATACATACATACCGGCGTCGAATTCTCACTACTCCAAGGGTTGACTGGCAGAAAGTTCCTATAGGCATCAAATTCGTCCTATGTATCCTTTCATAGAGGGAATTTCAATAAAGGTTAAGGGTATCCTAGTAGGAGAGCTTCTAACTAATAAGGAATATACATTTTTTTTAGGTCTCGGCGTATGGAAGATATCACCACATCAACCCGATGTATATATTCTAACTTTTCTAGAAAGAATACGTTCATTTCTCAAAAAGGACATGTTGAATCACCTATCTGATGTTAACTTTGCTTATATTCAACCCAGCAAAGGGATATTGGGTAAGCATTTTTAATAATTATAACTTCCACTTTTGTCTAGAGAGAGAAGAAAACATGTTAAAAAATATTTCACGTTAATTAATAATATCATTTAAATATATTTAATTTTTTATTTGGAAGTTGATGTAGTGTAGAGTACATAGCTCACATTTTGAAGTCCTTAGAGTCTGTATCTATTGTTTTTAAAAGGTCTATGAACTTTATTTGTCTTGCATATCTTAAAAAGAACTTATAGTATCGACTCCAGACAAATTTTATTCGAAGTTTAATTTCATTACGATTTAGTTTTCGATAAAATAGATTCAGTATTTTTTTAAAGAAATGAACTCGATGATACAATTATCATCATCAATCATTACAGCCCTTCATAAGTCCACTGCTGAACATAGACCTAATGAATTCCACAAAGCATGGTTCCGAGCCACCAGCATCCATCGACTGACTGCATACTCACCAGCCGGGCTATTCACAATCGTCTCGGAAAGCGAAATCGACTCGGATTCGATAACTTCTCGCACCGAAACCAATAAACGCTATTCACATTTAACATTCGGACAAAGGTCACTTAGATACATCCCATAACTATTGTAACGTCATTTAGTTACATGCATTTACGAATTTTGTAGGTAAATAGGCTTTTGTATTTTTTTAGAGTAACGCCTGAACAAAAACATAATGCAATATTTTGGTGTTAGCCATTGATATCGAATATAAAAAATATATAATTTAACTATATAATAAATAACAAAAAAACTGAGATATATCTCGTTTCACAAAGCAGCATATATATATGCTGCTTTGTGATAGAAAACTTATAAAAACACCTTTACGATTAAGTGCAAATATTGAAGTAATTATATGAAAATACGTCTTATAGATAATTGTAATTAAATTTGTTACCTAGCTTATAATTAAAAGGGCTTATTTATCTCTTCTAATGATCAACATTCGAAAAGTTTTCGCCAGCCTCAGAGCTCTCGTGAAGTTTCCGATGCAAACTGTCACAATTATCGAAAACAAACGTCAAAGAAGTACGGTCACGCCCCATAGAAAAAAACCCAGACCCGACAGAAACGAGACATATCTCAGTTTTTTTTGTTATTTATTAAATAGTTAAATTATATATTTTTTATATTCGATATCAATGGCTAACTCCAAAATATTGCATTATGTTTTTGTTCAGGCGTTACTCTAAAAAAATACAAAAGCCTATTTATCTACCAAATTCGTAAATACATGTAACTAAATGAAGATACAATAGTTATAGGATGTATCAAAGTGACCTTTATCCGAACCTTAAATGTGAATAGCGTTTATTGGTTTCGGTGCGAGAAGTTATCGAATCCAAGTCGATTTCGCTTTCCGAGACGATTGTGAATAGCCCGGCTGGTCGTCACTCCATCTAGTGGGGGCCGCCCTACACTTCGCCTACCGGTACGAGCATACAATTAATTAGTCACCAAATACAGTCGACTCTCGATAATTTGACACTCGTTAATGTGAATGTCTCCATAATTTGAAATTTTTCCCGGCCCCTTGAAAAATACTCGATAAATTGAATAAAATCAAGGCCCTCTCGTTAATTTGAACTTGAAGGAATAGTAACTGGCCCGCCAACATGCAATAATTTGAAGTCTGGGCTTCCCTAATCTCAATAATTTGAAGCGTTTATCATGCACAGACCTGTCGCTTCTTTACATACACGTACAGACCTGTCGATTGTTTACATAAATGAGAGAGACTTCTTTTCAAAATTAACATTTGTGAATAATTGTTTGTACAAATGTTTCAAATACGACACGAATTTTGATCAAAGACTAATTGTAACCCCCCCCCCCCCGCTCCCCTTTTTTGCTATCTATTCTACTGTTATTTTAAACTTTTGGTAATTTGAAATTTTTCTTTGGTTCCCACAGTCGTTGAAACTCTTGGGAAGTTGATGAGTAGACCGAATCGCAGCCACATCCATGATTTTTTTGGAATAACAATTATATCCTTCCTTTCCAGTAATGTCCAAACTGTCGCGATTTTATAATGATGTTCTTCTGAACGGAGAATAATTTTAATTTTCAGGCTTATTCACAAACTCCTCCGAGGCGGTGGAAACGCCAACAGAGAAGAGGATATTCTTTGAGTGTAAACGACATCCCAAAGGTAATTTTTATACTACATAGGTATTATTTTATTTTATTTTTAACCGTAAAGCGTGTTTCAGATGGAAGGAAGTTGTATAGGAACAAAATATATTTATTTGTATGATTGTTTCTATTGCTTTAACTTTTAGTATGCGATACTACGCCGTTGACCACGCTAGATAACTAGTTTATCTGACTTTTACAAAATTAGAGTGTTGAATGGACCGTCTCCTGCTAACTATAATGTCTCTGGTTCTCTCTACTCACCATACGAAACACAGCAGCATTAAAAGCTGCTATTTTGCGCTGGTATTCTGTGTGAGCGTGGTCCTTCCCCGGTCGAGACGACCCATTCGTGCTGCAACCATTATGTAGCTGCAGCGTGGCGTTATCACGTTGGTAAAAGCTTCTGACCTTATTCGTAAATTATCGCCATATTGTATAGATACGTAGGAGAACGTTATTATCATTATTAAACCATGTGATAACAGGTGGCATCAACGTCCAATTAGAGAACCGGGAGCCATCTTCGAAGTTGACTGGGGAGCATGAGGGGAAGCTATTAGTGATGACATATCCATGGGATGGTAACGCACATCCAGGGAATGAATTCTGGTAAGTTAACTCACGATCAGGTTTGTTGTTTTAAAATAATTTGAGCATTTTTCATTATTTCCCAGGACCTGGCAACCTTAATATCTTCGAAGTTGCTGACACTGTTTCTCTTCAATAGTATTCTAAAGTTGTTATTTTGTTAGAACGTGTTTTCATAGACCCACACGACACCGATATATCGGAATGTCGATACCACATCCGCTCCCCACGTAATCGTCCCGATAAAATCAAGAATGTGTTGTAAATACACACATTGATTTCTATTGAAGCAAAGAACGTGTATGCTATTTGTTTGTATTAAAAAAAAATTAAAAATTTGATCGGATGTACTCCTAGCTTCTCGAATGTACAATATAATAAACTCCTCACGTATCCTCACTTTCACTATTGGATGTAACGAAAACAGTTCAACAATTTCTCTATAACATAGGACAAGATGCATTTCGGAGTGTGCGCAGGAATTGTATGCTTTAATTCCTCCCTCCCGTTTCCCACCATCGGACAACCAGGCGGTTGGGGGGTGTTCACCCTTTTGTTGTCTTTTGTACTGTGTAAGCCAAAAATAATATATATGTGTGCTTGTCTTTCCATTCAATTACAATCAATCTGTCTTCAAGGCAAGAGCTTAAAGCCTATTTTATGCTAAGACTGCGATTTACTGTCTAATGCATCATCACCACTTACCACCAGCAGGGCTAGCATAGACAGGAGATAATTTTATCCCCGGTGAAAGGAGAAAATGTTTATCCCCTCGCTTAGTTTTATCCACCCATCGAGCATTGGCACACCGGTGGATATAATATTCACAGTAGATAAAATGGGAGATAGACTTAGTTTTAGATAGATTTTTTGTATGAATATAATCTTAAGCCCACGTCCAATGAACTAGGATAAAATTGTCCCTTTCAAATGTCAAAAAAGCATAATTTTTTATTTTTCATTTGGCCTCATTCGAGGGATGGGGTATATATGTCTACTATTTATGTCAAACGGGGATATACTTCTCCCCGTTGCCGTGCTTTGGCATAAGGACAAGATAATTTTGTCTCTTGTCAGTGGATATAGTCAGATGATAATTTTTTTATATCCCCAATCCATGCTAGCCGTGCAGGTGGAATTGTAGTGAAGAAATAATTAACAAAATAGGTAACTTTGACTTTACTTAGGTTATGTAGTGCAATTTCACCAGTAATGATAGGAGTAGTCTAATTTTACATCAAATTGCATTGTCCAATAATTGAACCATCTGTAATGCTAAAATGGCACAACAGAAACAGAAACTTTTTTTATTCAATGTAGATTATAAATAATACTTATTAAAAGTCACTCTTATGTTTCATTACCTCTGTCCTGGGAAAACAACTTACAATCGCGTATTACATAAATAGCAACAAATTAGGAATAGCTTGGTAGCGATCACCTCATTTCCAGGGGTTATGATCATCCATTATCGGTCTCGGTAAATATCAAAAATTCATAAATCTTGTTATGGTCTCGGTCAGATCTAACAGTGATCTTAGGTTTTTTTGTTTTTAATTCTAATAATTGTTATTATCATCCCGTTTATATTTAACAGGTTAGGCAGCCTTAATAGTTCGGGAGACCCAGCCGCGGCTTGTTCGACGCAAGTATCGGAGTTACACAACGCTCACATAAACCCAGCAGTAAGTTCGTGCAACGTTCGAGTCGCCGGTCGGTCAGGCATCAAAACTCTAAATGAGTACTCCGCCGCGTTAACAACATAAAGGATGGACATATATGTAACGTGCAAGTGCGAGCGGGATAACGTGACTTAGTTAATTTTGCGGTGAAATCAATGAAATCGCATTCCTCGAATATATTTAACAACAGGTAATAATAATCTTTATGTATACGGTGTTTGGAATTTTTCTATGAATCGTATAACACTAGTTTTTTCAAGCAATAATGAACTTTATTGACTACTAGTTAAGAATGAATTCTCTGTAAATTATCTATTTTAATATTATTGTTAGCGGCGGCTTAATAACACAAGCTGCGTCACGATCAGCGCACATGAGACGGAAATATAAGGCGAATGAGTATGAGAAAGAGACAAGTATGCTAAGACTATGTTACTTCTTATGAAGTATGCTACTTCTTATGAAATATGCTACTTCTTATGGATTAAAAACCGATTCTTTAATGTGAGAAACGTTTTTAAGTGGTTAAAGAAACATTTAATTTTATAATATTTTAATTATCTGTGTCTTATACTTTTTTATAGAAAAATATTTTTTACAAAAATGAAAGAGAAAGAGAGCTTATTTTGGGGAATTGGGCATCATTCTTTTGCAGAATGCTTAAATCTTTAGTGTGAATAAAGCAATATAAATACGATTTTGAACTTAAAATCTAGGTACGTTAGGGCTGAATTTTGAAGAAATAACAAATTTCTAATAGTTTCGATGAGTATTAATTTTAATGTACTGTTAAAGTAGTTATGTTTTAAATTACGGTTATTATTTAAATGTGACTAAATATCGAATTGTGACAGTGAGTTTTACACCAAATGTGTATGGCTTTAAGGTTAATTTTTATTTTAATTATTGAACAAAATTCTACATAATACTTAATTTTATCTACAATATTAAAAACTATGATAATAATAAAAAAATAAAACTAGAAACTTAATTATCATATAGTCCTACTCCCCGCGGTATCGTGCCAAGAACGCTGGCTGCGTTTCCCCGCTGAACAAATGTTTGATTTTGTTAATTTAATAATGAAATGATAACTATGTAACAGAACTTTATTTAAGTCTTAGAATGAATTACATAGGGGGTAGCTTAGAATTTTCGACAATATATAACTGAAATGTGAACTTAAAAAGTGGTTGTTTAAGTGTTACTAGAATCCCGAAACTGTATTTAAAATATATGAAAATTAGCTCTAGTTCCGATATTAACTGATATAAAGATCGAATAAAATTAACTGTAGAGATCAGAACAAAAATTAAAAAAGAATTGCAATAATAAAAAGCTGAAGGAAGCCTGGGTTGACTATAACAATAGGATGTTGAAAACTTAGTTCACCTTGAGCTTGTGCTGTAAAGCACTTGAAACGTCAGGAATTAAAAATTATTTATAATTAAACGCGATAAAATTAGTTTTATCCAATGTGTAGTATTTGAGTAAGAAATCATTGATATATAGAATTTTTATAAGACTTCTCACGCGAGATTTACAAGTGACTCTAGTTTTATTAGGTTTTGCGCGGATTGGATTTTGTAACTGGACTGACTCAGGGATGTTCAATTCCAAAGTTCTCTTTTTTTGTAGAAGAGTGAGCAAATGAGCATGTACTATGCGATTCAAATAAGAATAAGATTGAACAGGCGCCATATTGTGACGTCATAGCTGTCAATTCAAACTAGTTAAGTAGGGTGAGCAAAACAGATATTTTTGAAGTAATATTTATTTACAAATAAATACAAAAGAAACATGAAAAAGAAAAATTTTTATTCGAAATATATCACTTCGATTCCGCTTATCTCTGCATCACTGTCAGTAGTCATCATCGTCATCATCACTACTGCTTTTCCTTATAAAAATAAGTCTGTTTTTTTTTCATTACAACAAAACAGTTACTATGTGTGTAAGAAATCACAGAGCATTGATTGATTGAAGATACATCCATAGAATTTGCCATAATATATTAAATAAAAGATGTTTTCTTACCTCTCCTTCACTCTTTTTTTTTGTTTATTTTGCCTCATCCGGCAGAGTGCGCCATCTTATTTATGTAAAAGAACAACTCTCATAGTCTTCATCAATCAGCAGCAGGCCTCTCGCTGCAATGCTGTGTGTTTTCTTACACACATAATAATTGTTTTGTTGTAATGCAAAACAGTCTTATTATGTGTTTCTAAAACACACAACATTGATTGAAGACCTGTTTGATATCTGCTAGAGCAAGAATACAAACGCTATGTGAAAAATAAAAAGTATAATAATTCACTCTTTATATTATGTATGATATAGGCAAAAATTATTATATCTCAATGATTGAAAGTACAGAGTACAATAAACCCTTAAATGTAACAAACCTATCTGAAAAAGAGAAAGTTATAATAATTAAATATTAGAAAAAGTCTTTGCTAATAAGTCCCCATTATTAATATCACTTTCTTTAATTGTGCGACAATAAAAAAAATTAAAAGTTTGAGCACTTCCAATTTGCTCTATTTAAAATTTCTCAACTGGTCTATTTTCTAACCAGCTTTTTGACGCCACTGCTCACTACTTGGTGTTGTATTAGTACCCACTTTTTTAAAATTAGATCTTATCCAGCCTGCTAATCATTGTTCTTGTTACTGGTCTAATAATACCCGAAATTTATATAAATAGGCAGTCTAGTTTCCCCTCAGTCTCGTCTCTTTTAATTGTAATAATTGTTTTATATGTCTTATTGGATATTGGTGTTCATCAGTGTTGTTTCAATAACCAGCTCGATTGTCTGTTATCTGCACTATCCGTCCTGGAACCAAAGTTGGGCCATAACCATATCTCTTTACTATCTTGACTTATAATAAAGCTGTCTTCAGGCACTTCAAGGAGAGTGAGGTCATGGACTCTTCTCCCTGAATGAAGCCAACAAAAGGATTTTAACTGTTTTTCTTGCTATATCAAAAGTTGTACCTGAGCTAGGTGTATCTCTTAGCCAATCAAAAATTAACTTTGTGTCGCATATTGGCAGCTTTCTATCTTTTGGTCTTTCCAAAAAAATAGCTTTCAATACCTGATGAACAAAAAAATTAGAATGATCTTCTATACCTGTTCAACAGTATGTAGACAGTACAGATTTATGTAGAAGTGCTGTCCTATATGCTAACTTGTCTTCTATGTATAATTTTGCCAAAAATCTAATCTCTTGGAGTCATTGAGTTAATATTGACTCTAATATAGACTCATACCACAATACCCATCGTCTAATAGGACCCATATATGTTGATATTGTTGATCCTCGCCAAATTCTATTGATAAGATCTTTTTCCTCTAGTGACCAGTGGGCTATTTGGTCAGCCCACCCCCAACCTTCCAAGCTCGAAACTCTAACTGTTCCAGTTAAGGGGGACTTCTGTCTGTTGTTAGATCGATTAAATGTTTTTGAAGATCCTGTATTACGATTGGCTCTGTTAGAGCCCTCGCCTGTGGATCCGTCACGGTGCTATCACAATGTATGTCCCCTTTGCTCCATTTAGGTATCTCAATACCAGTGAAATCAGATTTGGCTGGGGGAATGCCCATGCCAACTCGAAGTTCCGCTGTCGACTGAATGCGTCGCAATATAAAAAGCAACCACTGGAGTCCCATGTTACGTACTGGTCAACGAAAGCGATTTCTTTGGAAGCGAAGAGGTCGACTTCGGGGACGCGCCAGACTCTGAATATGGCCTCCGAGGCCAGGGGCAATAAGTGCCATTCCGGCACAGGTCGGTTTCTCGAAAGGCGATCGGCTATGCCTTTGTATCTATCTCCCCGAGAGATATGCCGCCGAGAGCTTGATGTTCAGACGTTCGGTCTACTCCATAAGTTTTAACGTTATCTCTAACATAAGACATAAAGACATTTATTCCAACACTTACATCTTCTACACACATGACAAATTACAATTAAAAATAAAACAAGTGACTTTTAAACAAACAAACAAAAATTAGAATAAATAAAAGAAGTGCGTCCATTATATGTATATGCAAACGCACATTAAAATAAAAATATAAATTGTGTGCTATGATGTAGTGGTGGAAGGGACCGTCTCTTTCAGCATATGCCGCGAGCTTGCAGCGCTAATTTTCAGCCGGCCCCGAACAAGTTCCGACGGTCAACTTTATGCGAGCATTTTTTAAATCTGTTTTCTATACCTCGTGCGAGATGTGTCACTGGTAATTGAATTGCTTCTAGTGTTAGGCTCTCAATTTGGTTTTCTATCTGTTGAACATTTTTTCCCCAACCTATGCTTAACCAAATGTCAGATTATTCAATTGTTGGGTGGCAGCCTCAAAACTTCGAAACCATGGAGATTGAAAATACTGTCTGTGACCATATTTTGTTGGCGGTTTGTGCCTTTTTATTAACTCGTAGTTTCGCTTTTGTAAAAGATTCCTGATATTCAATATTTTTTCTCTCAGCCATGAGTGCATTTCTACTTTTTAACCGACTTCAAAAAGGAGGAGGTAGTCAATTCGACTGTATTTTATTTTGTGTTACCTCATAACTTTTTTAGGTGTTTGGCTCTGTCTTCGGGACAATCTCCCTCGTAATTCATCCATCAGGTTTACATTATATCTTGGATCATCTCTGAAGGATGGCTCTGGTGTTGAACTTCGAGAGCTATTTTGACTCTCTACTAAGTTCCTTAAGTTACTTAGAGAAGCCTCAACAGTGGGGTGATTGTCACGATCCAAGACATTTCTAAGTCTCATACCAATCCAGTTGATGCTCTCCAGTAACCCAATTGGAATTAAGTTGCTTGGTGTAAGTGCAGATCTTATATTAGGCTCTGGTAGTGGGGGAGGAGGAGGGATGTTAACAGAAACAGAGGCTGAGGATGTCCAGTGTGGAGGCAGCTGGCTCATTGTCATAAATGAAGGTGTTGGACTATACCCCGGATGGCATGAAAGCTCATGAGGCGTCAATGTCTGCACTAACACATGTTTACCATCCGGGGTCGTTAGTTTACCAGCTTCGCTACAACATTTGATAAATTGTGAGCTTGTAGGGATTTGA